CAAAGGTATGAATTAGCTAACTCCTTCCCCTGATAACCCTTCTTTCTCTGTTCTCTCGTAGGCATTACCAGTGTCGAACCTTGGCAGAAATTTGAAGTTCACTTTTGATGAAGGAAGAGTGTGTTTGTTCAGTGATGTAATTAAGACATGTTTGACAAAGTCAGCTTTTGACCTGGTGGTACTTAAGTGCTGCATCCTAAACTGGCAACCATGAGGCACCAGCTCTAGTGTCTTGAGGGAAATAAAGACACAAAGCTGGTGGTAACGCAAAAGGTCTTAAGTCTTAAATGGTCATTGGGCACTGCTGGGTTGACCAGCATGGCTAGTTGCTAACTATGTGCCTTTGCTGTATTCATCAAACCATATTCAGTTCAAACCACTGTGTCACCTGTACCTCCATCCGCATACTGACTGTGAAGCCTGCTAGAAAGTAGGGCAACCTCACAGCAAATATTTCATTCCAACTGTCCTCAGGTCTGTGATGCTGAGTGGAAACGGCATACCTCCTTTTACCTCCAGTCATCATTGTATCAAAGACTGAACAATGACAAGCTTCCTGAAGAAATAACTTGAAAATGTCAGGACACATTAACACGCCTGAACCCTAATGGGGCATAGGATACCCTCTACTAGCAGGATAAGTGGCTAGAGTCTCCTGTGGTTTTAAGCTGAATTCTTTGATTCCCTTGAAGAGACTTTGAAACAATTTAAAAAAAATGAGTTGTTACATTGGAAACTCAATTTTTTGAGCCATTGTCACCCAATGTTTTTGATAAAAGTTCCCAAATGCTAAAAGCACATGCTTAGTCCGATGTGAAAGTCCACTCAGCAGTGTGAGGTTTTTGCATGTCTTGACCATCTACAGTCACCCAGACAATCACACATGAATGGCTGCACTGCTGACTTCTTTTTCTGGTCCATCTTCTAGTCAGGAAGCATTTATTGAGTATAAAACATCACACCTGACGTAAACAATCTCCAGCAATCCTAGGCTCCCAAGCATTTGACTGGCTGGATATTCAATAGTGAATTATTTGCTTTAGCTTGAAGCTAAAGAGGAGACCTCAGTTGGAATTTTATAATTCCCTTAAGACCTCTAAAATAATATTATGAACACCACGTGTAAAGGACCACAAACTTATTAATGCAATGGTGGATGACTTTTCTTCCACATTAATTTACACTACAAATACCCTATCTTATGACCATCAAGCATATTTGAAAGTTAATAACAATGTCCACTTCTTACTAATTAAAAGCCAAGTAGAGATGAATTATGTTTGATTCTATACTATGTTTTAAAATAATTCCATCTACTGTATTCTCTTCAATTTTAATGCAAAGATAGGAGTTTTGTTTACATTCACATTTTTATAGACTCAGAAGATCTTTATTGAGTGACTGTTTTGTGGAAGGCCCAGAGCTGGACATCAGAGGAGCAATAAAGACCTGCCACTCAATGGCACTCCTCTCACAGAGGGTGTGGAAACAGTCGCTTGTTTAACTGTCTGATCTATTTATTCTGTGAGAAGATGGTTCTACACAGTAACTTTTAATACAATGTGTGGCAGGATAAAAAGCAGCATGCAATTATCCAATTTTCATCTACTTAGATTTTAATGACCATACTTACTTGCCCATTCAATTTGGTAACTTTTAGCCCAGAGGCACTTAAGTAGCAGTTTGAAACCTGAGATTCCCCAGATTTATTTCCATGTGGCCATTGCTTGTTAGATCACTATGTTATAATAGGTTAGTTTTTCCTCAAAATAATGTTTCTTTTAAACTGCTGGTATTCTGAATAGGTAGCAAGCCTGTGCTCTATTGTTCTGTTTTTAGAGAGTAGTACCCATGTAAAGGTGATAAATAGCAGCAATTGGATCAGACACCAACCTCAGTTCATTAAAAGGAAGCAAAGCAGTCTTGGTTCCTCTGTTTTGATCATGGCCTCCCAAGTGAGCACTGCCTCCCCTCCATCTACATTAGAAGACAGTGCAGTGTAGAAGGGTAGAGGAACTGAAGGAGGTCAGCCTATACGTTGGAAGTGCTAAAAGGGGAGAGATGTGTCCCTCTCTTATCTGAAGCCAACTAAATGAACTGTGAGAGGCAATGTTTGGTTAGGAGTGTCTGCAAGGGCATTATTGTCCTTAACTTGCCTTCTGAAATTGTGAGATTTTCAGAGGTATGCCTATTTCAGGTCACTGCTAGAGAGCCGAAATTACCAATATTCTCTAGGAAATGTGAGATGGACAGTCAAAGGATAGGGGTAAGATCAGGGCTGGAGGCTAAACAGCCATAAGTCTGGCAGCTTCTGAGGTAAGAGACATAGAATTGCCTTTGGTAGTGTAATAGGTTTCTAATGTAGCCTTATCTCATTCCTCAATCCCTTAAAATCAAGAAAGGGGGAATTTAGCAATGATTATGACTATTGAAAGAGTACAGAAACATTAGAAAATGATGAAGCATGGTCCCAAGGAACTACATCCCTTGAAACAAGCCCTCAGATTCCTAAAGAAATTTCCACACTGAATACGGAGGGCTGTGCATAGAAAGAAGATGACTAACATCAAAAAGACCAGAGCCATGTTTCTAGTGCCAAGAGACAATCATACATAGAAGAGTGTCTATGACATTCTTGTCCTCATCTGTACTTTGGGCTTGACTCACCCTCAGAGGGCCTAGGGCCTACCCAGAAAATTAATGGAGACAGAAACATGGCAGCATGGAGCTAATCTCTTGGAACTAGAATGTCCAGAGAAGATGATCAATGCCACAATTACCTTCGTTTATCTGGAGATTTTAAGGTTTATTATACCTGCATGTATGCCTGCACACCAGAAGAGGGCATCAGAAAATATTTAGATGGTTGTGAGCCACCATGTGGTTGCTGGGAATTGAACTCAGGACCTCTAGAAGAGCAGCCAGTGCTCTTAACCTCTGAGCCATCTCTCAAGCCCCCTGTCTGGAGATTTAAAAAGAAAAAAAACAAACAAAACAAACATGAGAGCATTAAACACTGGGACGAATCCTCAACATCATCCACACCCTGCTCCAGGTTCTCAACACCAGCCATGGCACCAAAATGTCCACCCATGTTTCTCATTACTGTACACGTAGCTAAATTTTGTCTTAGTTGAATTAATTCCTATCACATTGCATGAGCTCAGTAGTATTCTCAAAATAATTGTAAACACAGACTTTGATTAATCTTTAAAGGGGCAAGTTCAACTGTCTTACATAGAACAAAGAGGTGAAGAAGAAAAAGAACTGTAGTGTTCCTATTCATTAAAATGAATGCTTCTCCAGAATGCCACCCTGCTCCCCCTGCCCCCCCCCCCCACACCCCAGTAATAGAGCTCACCACAGCACTTATTCACATCACACAATGTGTATCAGGCATAGCCAGTTTTTCTCCACATTTCTATAAAATTTGGAAAAGGTATTCGATCTTGGATCTCAGCTGCAGACCTTGAAGATTTAATTGGGAATCGTACAATCATACATATGTCATATTAGATTATTTTTTTCAGAAAATTCAGTAGCTAAACCAATGCTGAAACTGTCCAAACGTTTTAGCAAATGTCCAGGTGCTGGCACCTCATTCGGGATTCTACACAATTGGTTTTTGTTTGTTTGTTTGTTTTTGTTTCTTCATTGAAGACATCTTGCTGTGTCAGGATGGGAAATGGGTCCAGATGTGAATTGTTGACCAGGTTAAAGCTTTACAATATTCACAGTACCGTTGAAATCTCCCTGTGGATTGAATTCTGTTCTCATCATTCCTTGTCTCCTAGCTCCTATATCATCATGTTAGATCTTCATTCATACATTCGGTAAGTCAAACACATTGTCTGTGTGTGCACATGTATGTCTCTGTGTGTAGAAGGTAGCTGTTCCAGCTTTGACCTGGAAGTACTACCCCTAATGAGGCTTCTGGTAACTGCCACATCTACCTATGATGTGCTCCTGGGGCGGGGCCGAGATGGGAGCCCTTAAGACCCGAAATCCAGATGTGCCGGCCCTCTTGGTTCCTGGTGATCCAGGATGCTGGAAGACAGATCAAGTCAGAGTTCTCCAGAGAACCCTGCTGGACTGCACCTCACCTCTCCCGGATCCTGTAGTGAGTAGCCATTCCAGCTTTGATCTGGAAGTTCCAACCCCCATTGAGACTTTGGCAACTGTCACGCCTACAAGGCGGGGCCAAGGGAGGCGCCTGGAGACCCGAGATCTGGATGGGCCAGCACTCTCTGGTCCAGGACCCTGGACGGTGGAGGTGGGCCAAGCAGAGCGCCAGAGAACACAGCTGGATTGCGATACACCTTCCCCAGACCCCGCGACTTACCTATCCCTTAATTTGTAAGTTACGCCATTAAATAAATCTCCTTTTAACTACGTGGAGTGGCCTTAATAATTTCACCAATAGGATCCTGTAACCAACCCCTTTATTGGCTGTAAGTTAGCCCAAATTAAGCCTCCTTTTTAACTACATGGAGTTGCCTTGATAAATCCCCACATTATCTCTGTACATGTGTGTGCATGCTTATATATTGGCACATGTATGTGTATGTGTGTGTCTCTGTGTGTGTGTTTGTAGAATCAAAATAGATTTCTTTAAAACACGTGAAAAATGAAAAGAAACGAAAGGTTTACAGAGTTAAATTTTAGTTTGGGCCTGTGGCCTGAGCTCTCTAGGGCAATGTTCTCCAATAGATACAAAGGTCAAGAAGTTGAGCCTAATAACACAGGCCCATCTTCCCAGCTGCTCAAGAGGCAGGAGATCACAAGGCCTGCCTGAGTCACAAAGAGAATTCAAGGCCAACCCGGGCAAATTAGCCAGAGCTTGTATAAAAGATATAAAACATAAAAATAGGATTGAGGGTATAACTCAGTGGTAGATCACCTGTCTGAGCCAGGTCTTACCTTTCACACACACACACACACACACACACACACACACACACACACACACGGGGGGGGGGGATACAAAACAGGCCATAAGCATGAGTCACATGTAATCTTTATTTCTAATAATCCTATTCAAAAGAAACATATAAATAATTTCAAAAATAAGTGAGCAAAATTTTCAAATTCATATAACTTAGCATGCCATTTAAATTCTAATTTCAACACTCATAATTCAAATTCCAGAGTGTTCATTCTATATACTCAGCAAGAAATGTTGCAAGTGCCAACTAAGTTCAGAGGCTATCCACTGCCTGTGGTCGCATAGCCCTCAAGAGTGTCATGAAACACAAAGATGTAGGTCATCACACAATCACCTCTGTATCTGTGGTGATGAAATACCAGTGTCTGGATTAATGACAGACCTAGAATCATCTCCCTTGTTCTGCTACAACTAGAGTTCTGTGGCTTCTTCTCACTCTAACCGGGATCCTAAGGGACCGCTCTCACAATGAGAGGGCTAGTAGGTGTTGTCTTTCTGTTCCAATTATGAATCCTTGAACCAAAGCTTCATTTCGGCTCACAGTTTCATGACCCATAGGCCTTTTTGCTGTGGGCAGGCAGTGACACACCACGGCAGAAGTAGATCCTGAGGCAGACCTGCTTGCTGCATGGTCAGGAAGCTACAGAGATAAAGAGGTGGAGGCAAAGTGACCAAAAGATGACTCAAAAGGCCCTATTCCTTAATGGTCCAATACTTCCTCATAGCATCATACTGGGGACCACACCTTTAACTGTAGAAATTTGGGGGTAGCATTTAAAAGTGAGGTGTGGAGCTTGCCATATGTTGCTGAGCTGAGAAAACTGCTTAGATTCAACTCAGATTCAACCTGTAGCCCTGTGCTTCCCAATATATCCCAGTGATCTCCACCCAAGGACATGACCCTGAACAATGCTAAGAGGTGGCTAACGTCAGCCACCAGAACACATAAACACATTGAGTTAGGCTTTGAGCAAACCTAGGGTGGCTTGTGTTTTCTGAGAACATTCAAATTAGGGTTGCCTGATTTAGCAAACACAAATAACACATACCCAGGTACAGGTAAATTTCAGACAAACAATGAAGAGTGTTAGTGTAAATACAGCCCACACAACTTGCTACTGGGTACACTACTCACAAAATTTTAAATTCAACCAAGCGGTGTATATGGTGTATATTTTATCTATAAAGTAGAATCTGACCAAACACTATTGTGTACACAAAATATGAGTTTCCTCTGGTTCATTGTGACGCTCAGATGGCAAGAGATCACAGCAGGCGCAAGGTCAGACCAGAGGCAAAACCCAAGTCTGAAAGCAACTCTGCCTCTTCCTGAACATGAGCAACACACCTTCTTCATAGGCCCCGCATCAGGAGATTCAAAGCACAGACCACAGCACTTCTTAATCTGTGTCTATACTGAACATGTACAGACATCTATTACTTTGTTATTTTTTAATTGACATTTTTTGTGTGTGTGTACTGTTACCATAGCACCTGCACTGCCATCTGCAGATGGTTTCAGGAGGGCTGGCTCTGATAGATGTAAAAACTTCAGGGGCTTGGGCAGCTTCAGATTTGGTGATCCTTGTGTGTGCTGCAACCAAATCCCCCAAGAGAAAATTGCATAAGGAAACAGAGCTAACGAGATACCTCCATGGCAAGAATGCTTGCCACTCACTTAAGCATGGAGACTTAAGTTCAGGTTCCCAACATTCACATAAAAAGCTAGGCACGGCTCTGCATACCTATGCGTAATCCCAGCGCTGGGAAGTTGAGGGCACAAGACAATCACTGGGATTTGCTGGCTAGCCTGCCTAGCAAAACCAGCAAGTGACCTCTACCTAAGGGACTACAACATAGAGTGATAGAAGAGGGTACACATGTCTGGCCTCTGCACTTGTGATCACAGATGCACATGTACCCACACCCACAAACATATCACATACAGCACACACACAAGTATATACACACACTCATATTACGCACACATACATACAAAGGACGTACTTATATGCATACAAATATGCACACAAATATGCACACTTACTTATGTATAAATACATACACACATATGGACATACAACACACACACACACACACACACACACACACACACACACACACACATACACACACAAGCAAATGCTTACATGTGGCCCAGCCAGGTGAGGTCCTTTCTCTCCGCCTCACTGTCATCATCTTTATAATAGAATGCTAGATCTCTGTCCAGCTATTATCACAATCAAATGAAATGATAAGCATTTGGTAATCGAAGGATACAATTAATTATTCCAGAAAATATTCTTATTATAATTTAGAAAATAATCGGGATTGATTATTGTGCCTATACTCTGTTCACTACCTTTAGTTTAAGTGCTGTAGGCCCCCTGTAGCTGTCTGGGAATTTCAATCGTAAATATTTATAAAGAATTAGTAAGTGATAATCTTGTTTCTTTAGGCCCTAATGCTTTTAGATATCTTAAACATTTTAGAGTATAAATTAAGTGATCTGGGAAGAATAAAGGATATTCTTATGACTATTTTCAATAATGAACATAAGATACATTACTTAAATTCAAACCAAAAAAAAAGTATAATACTTACTAAAGAGGTGCATGAAAAATCCTGCACTGTGAAAAATATAGTGTTGGCGTTTGTGAGATGCAGTAGCTGCATGCTACAGTCTAGGCCCCTGAATGTGTTCAGACAAGCTCAGTCTCTGATATCAGCACTGATAAATTAGACCAAAACATGAGTCACCTCTACCGCCTGCGAACACACAGAAAGAAAACGAATAACACACACATACAAATGGACTTTTTTTTTTTAAGCCGTAGAGAATCTCAGAATTCTGAGAGGGAAAAGATGTGCCACTATTTGACAGCAACACTTGGCAATAGTTCTGACAGTTTGAGGGGCAGCCAATCTCAGTGGTAAACCCTTTCATGGGCCCTTGGCTTCGACGCTGTAACAGGAATGTGGCGCACAGGGAAAGCAGGGTTGGCGAGGGTGCCAGGCAGGCTTCACTCTGTTTATCTCCGCGCTCACTGTAAACTGTGCTCATGGCGGAATCCATGGCTGCCAGGTTTGCGTCGCTCCGCGGAGCAGAAGATGCAGGGCAAGTGGAGGGAGATTGCAGAAACCAGACAACGCAGCCGTGTCTTCTAACTCCGGCTGTTGAGCGAAACTTTGAAATCGTCGAATGGCTTTAGCTTTGTCGTTATTGACTACCCACAGCAAGCGCCACGTGAGCACTTGGCCCGGCCCATGTGCAAAATGGGAATGGGAGCCGCATCTACCTCCTACGGGTGTCCTGGTGATGAAGTCCTAGACTGTCACGGTGGCCGGCTCTGAGTACACATTTGGTAACTGTGAAGCCCCAAACGGAGCGGCACATTTCAAGCATTATAATTACTGAACAGTTCGTCAGAGCCGATCCAGGATTCAAAACAGGCAGCCTGGCTCCAAAGCCAGCCCTCTTAATCACTATCTTGCACTGTCGCCATTAATTATCCATTAATTTTCATAGAACACTTGAAAATGCTTCATTTGTGGTTGCTCTTAATACTGAAAAAAACGAAGCACAGAGAGTTTTAATGGCTTAACCAAGATTTTAAAAGCAAAGTTCCACCTCACGGTGACCATTCCCCCGCAGACGTTTGGTGAATAACCCTGAGGAAATGCTTACAACACTCTAAATATTGCGGCACGAGGAGAATCTGAATACACAGCTCCCACATGGCAGAGATTTAGGTTCTGGTCAAGTTGCTGAAGCCGAAGTGGAAAAGGATTCAGTGCAGGAAACACATGCAGTGTGAACGCCCGGGTGTAAGATGTACACACAAAGGACCAAACGGAGAAAATTGAGAGGGAGCAGGCTTAGAAGCTTCCAGGAAAAAGGAAATTGTGAGCCAAGTTTGGAAAGAAAAGAGGGGTATGGGTTGGCAAAGCCTTTGCACCCAGCCATCTTGCCAATCAACAAACGCTCCCTGTCCAAGGCGGTTCCCAAGGCAAGGAGGCGTCGCGCGTGAGTGTGTGCAACAGCTCCAGCCGGACGCCCGCCCTCCGTGCAGGCAAAGCGCGAGACAAGCCAGCCTCCATCACAACATGGCTTTGACAAGTGGCCAAAGAAATGCACCAGTACAGTAGAAGGTGACCTATTCCAAGGAAAGAAAAAGAAAACTTAATAAAGATAAGCAGACGTCTACGAAAATTCCAACCCTTTCAATGTAATTATTTTTTTTAAACCATTGTAAATTATTTTCTTGCCTCTCGTAGTATGCAGCTAGTTTTTTTTTCCTAGTTCTGTAACTGGGCTTACAAATGCTCTATAGTTTGTCCTCTTTTTGTATCCTCCCCCCCTTTCTATGCTCTCATAGAACACCCTCTCCTCTTCCCATACCATACCAAAAGACAAATGAAAACAAAACAAACAAGTATGAGAAGGCTCTTCCCTGGAATGACTCTAAAGTCTATACTGTTAAGACACTGAGCATGACTGGCTGCTTTCCAGGTGGCTCTGCAGGCTGGTAAATAGCTCAATTAGCCTCTCTCTCTCTATCTCTCCCTCTCTCTCTCTCTCTCTCTCCCTGTCGTTGAATTTTGCCAAGTGCATATACTGCATTGTTGGAAAGAGGCAGAGCCAAATTAGCCTAGCAGCGTCCCTTTATAGCCCTGACGACTGGGACACCTGAATGCCACAGAGAAGTCACTGTCCCCAGGCCCTGTTTCAGACCACAGGCAATGGAGTGCACTGACTCAGGACACCCCGCCCCAAGGGTGGCTAATGAGGAGTGTAGGTGAGGACCCTTGAGAGGCACCTGGGCATCCTGCCCATACAAACAGAAGACAGTGTTGGATGACAACCGTCACCACAGTCCAGGAACAAGGAGAGAGACAGACCAGGAGAACTGGGGGGGACAGTGATTACACTGTACATTCGGCCATGTCATATATCCTCTCCCCACCCAGTTAGGTCTGAATAATCGTAAGCAAGGCTCAAATCCTAGTCTTTTTAAAATAATACAATTCTTAAGATTGTATAAGCCCAAAAGCTCAGTGTGATATAATTCAGCTCTTTATTTTCAGCACCTTTCTTCTAGGGCTTGCCTCTCTCTGGTCCCCTCTTCTTCAAGAAGGTATAGACACCCAGCCTCCACCCACCCACCCCACACACTCCCCACGGGAGCCCTGTGATCTATGCTGTATTTATGTCTATTTGTGGCCCAACCAGACATAAACAGTGTCAGCAGCAACAAATGGAAAGTGGTGTTCTGTACGGAGCACTGTACGCAGCCCCGACATAATTCACAGAGCCTTGGTTGAAACTTGTTGCAGGGCCCTGAGAACACACAGAAAACAGGACATTCATGTCGTAAGGTAAACACATTCAGTCTCTTGTCTGCTTCAGGAACACATTTATTGGTGTGGGCTACGTGATACTGATGTATTCGTTACATTTTGGCATTTACAATATACAGTATTTCTCTGTTTGACTCATTACAGCCTTCATACCAATTAGGTGAAAGAAAATATTGTTTGCAAAAATACTTTTAGGGGGATTACATTTATCCAAGAATATTATGTATCACAATTTTAGAAACATTAAGTCCCAACATTTCCATATAATTATTATGGTTATACCCTAGAGAAGATATTTAAATGTCTCTACCCTATCTGTTGAGTTTGTGTTTCTCTCCCAAAGAACCTTGTCAAACAATTAGAAAGCTGAAATAAGACAAAATATTCTTGGCTGCTAAATTTGAGGGAAAAAAGTTGCCCCAAGATAAAAATTCTTAATATAAAATTGTACTTTGATTTGGGTGGTTTATTTTTTATAACATTAGGGGGATTTTTTTTAATTTTAAGCATAAAATCATACAACTCAATTATCAGGATATTTGCATCTGAGAAAAATCAAATCCTGAAATTAGATTCGGTGGTTTTTATGTGGACTCTAATCTGTGTTTTTGTCATTTTTGTGAGGCTCAGAAGGGTTTTGCTCTGAATGCTGTGTTTCGTGTCTTGAGCAGTAATTCCGCCCATGTTGAACCAAGAGCTGAGCTGGAGACACAGGCGAAGAAGCACTTTGCTGTGTGCTGTGGGCAGAATCAGAAAGCCCTCCAAAAACCCAGCTCTCCAAACATGTTTTCTTCAGCCTGAAAGACACTGTATTTAGGAGAGTACCTAGCTTCCAGCTGGATCTACCTTCATCAGGAAGGGGAAAAAAAGTCTATTTTAATTTCAATAATACATCCTCACCATCTTCGTAACACACCTATGTTTTTGTAGATCCAAGGTAATAACATATACCTGTAAGCCAGTAGTAAAATAGAATATCGGACTAATCCATCATCCATCTTCACTTTTATTTTCTGATAAAAAAAAGGAAGGAAAATGAGAGAGAGAAAGCAAGCATAATCAAAAGACTAAATGACAAAGAGTTGACAGTCAGTTTCTGTGGTAAATGATTCCAGAGTCGCTGGCCTGCCGAGCCGCTGAGGAAGTCCCCAGCAGACCTGATTAATTCCAGTCTCTCCAGCTGCCAGGGGAGCAGAGGGTAAGCAGTTTCGCAGAGAGGAGCCTATTACCACTACTAGGCTGAAATAGATCTAATCAACTCACAGCCGCTCCAAAGAAAACTTTACAGGTGCAGCTCGCTCAGGCACTGCCTTAAAATGATGACTACAAAGGACCGTGGGAGTCTGAAAGCATTTAGTCTTTATTGCAGCTCAAGGAAATGTTCTGCTGTGGTTAGGCCAAGCTAATTTACTGAACATGACAAAGCTTCCCAGACCCTGTGACATCATTTGTTTAAAGGCCCCAGTGCTCACACTAGTGTATTTCCAGTATTACTTTTTTTTTTCTTCAAAAACAGTTAATTTGTTGATATTTCATCTGTGTTTGGGCTAATTACATGCCCCATTATAAATGTCTGGACTAACCTACTTTAACATTTAATTTAAACAACAATGCTCTGTAATTTGTCATGGTGCTCCCCAAGTGAGGAATGTTGCAACTTTGTTCTCTAAGCAATCAACGATTTATCAGTGCATCTTAACGGGGTTCCTACAGGAAGGAGACCCCTGAAACACTGAAGCTATGACCAAGGCTCTGAGTCACAAGAAAACGAAGCTGCATAGCAATTTGTATCACAGTGGAGGCAAAATGGTCAGAACTAATAAATACCATATCAAAGGTACAGACCTAAAAAAAAAATTCCATATTCTGTACTGGATTGTATAACCACCTCCTTTTTAATGGAAAATAGACAGAGGAAAATTATTAAGGCCAGATTGAAACCAAATAACCATTTGTCTCTCTCTTTTTTAATCTTTGTAAAGACTTACAGAGGTAAAAAATCTGCTTTTGTTTAAATAATCAGGATTTGGAAACGCTCCATGAGTAACAAGATATGTTGTCCAGAATGCTGTGTGTGACAGCCGACATGCACACACGCACTTAGAAAATATATCGATTACTAATGAATTCACTGATCACGCCACCAAAAGAAATTAAAGGAGAATAGTCAAATCATCAAATTTAAGTTAGTTACAGATGATAAGCAACAAACTGTTTGCATGAGGAGTTTTATGTCAGGAGACACATCAGAATTCACGAGACAAAGGGAGAAAGTAGAGATTAAATTTTAGACATAATTTAGATTAAATTGCAGAATTTGAGAGTCAGTTTTGAGCTTCTCTACTTAGACACTGTTGTGACTGCTGTCCTGGGGTTAAGGGAACATGATCTGGCGGAAGGTGACCGAGTAGGCCTGTGGGCACGTAACAGGATCAGAAGAAGCAAGTGAGGTTCTGTGATATTCCAAGACAAATCCCAAAATTACTTTGGAGTCTAAATTGCCCATTTAGAAAGCCACCCTTGCTGGTAAGTACATGCAGAGTCCCACAATGCCTAGTGGCACCATTCATATTACTAGTTGAATAATAATCAGATTATTCATTTGCTGAACTCTTTTTTTCTTTTTTAAATTTATTTACATTATTTTATGTGTATGAGGGTTTTGCCTACATGTATGCATATGTACAACATATGAGCCTGGTACCTGAGGAGGTCATCAGAGGGTGTTGGATACTCTGAAACTAGAGTCACAAATGGTGGCAAGCCGCCATGTGGGGGCTGGGAACTGAACCCCAATCCTCTGAAAGAGCAACAGGTGTTTTGTTGTTGTAGTTTTATTTGTTTGGTTGATTTTTTTTGAGACAGGGTTTCTTTGTATAGCTTTGGAGCCTGTCTTGGAACTGTCTCCCTAGATGAGACTGGCCTCACAGAGATCCTCCTGCCTCTGCCTCCCGAGTGCTGGGATTAAAGGATTGTATCATCACAGCCTGGCTTGCAACAGGTGTTCTTAACCACTTAACCAAATCTCCAGGCCCTTGCACTGAGTTCTTGATGATCACTTTTGCCCCTTAAAATAGAACTTTGAGCTATTTATCCTTAACTGACACAGCAAACCAGGAAGTATCTGGACTTACCCTGGTGTTAGCAGTGTCCGATTGGGAGGTGTCTGTCACCAGCCTATTACCTTTACTTCTGGTATATTCTTGAACTCTGGCAATGGTTCAAGCTGGTTTTGTGTTTAAATCAATGGGACACTGCCTCTGAGGTTTTCAATTGTTTCTCGTTTGGTAAAATGTGGGTGCCAAGAAGCCAGCAGTCATCTAAGATGGCATATGAAGGCGCGGTCTACAGAGCTGAACAGGTTAGTCCCCAACACAGCAATGGCCTTCTTGTCGACACACATACCAGAGGCCAGATTTATGTCTGTCATTTTCAAAGTGACAGTTGGTTCCTAGTGGCCTCAAATGTGCAAGCAATTAGACAGCTGTGCATAGAATTGGTTTGACATGCCTGATTTGTTCTTCCAAAGAGAAAAACTATCTTTAAAAAAAAAACTGAGAAGATGAATTTGTAACAATATCATTTTAAAATACGATGTTCTATAACACTGCACTATCTAATGAAGTCCTAAACAAGACTTTGATATTTGGGGAAGGGGTGTATTAAGAAGTGCATGTCACCTGTGGTAGACTCGAGATTTAAGTTAGCAAACTAGACTGTTTGGGCCTAAGTCCTAAATGCTCATAGCAAACCTGGCCTGTTACTGACAAGATAATATATATTATCATAGAAAAAAGGAAGTATAATATATCTTAATATAGAAAAAAAAAGAAATAGTTGAAATGAATGTCAGAAGGACCAGACAGGAAAAAAAACAAACAAAAAGATCAGTATGAGTCCATATGGAGAGCAACTCAAAGAATGTATCCCACAGCCCACAGCATTGTTTTCACATACAAGCGGTTCTCGAAATTTCTCCTTTTGTCATTTTGACAAAATTAAGACTGATCATCAAAAATCACAAAGCTGAGCAGCTTTAAGAGTAAGGAAAGAACAAAATTAGACTCATGACATTAAAAGGGAGTGAGTGGAATATTATGAGGACAGCCCTTCTTGGAGTTGCCATCTCTTGCATGCCTCAGAACTACCCACCCACAGGACACATTGAGCTACCAGCATCTTGCTTGCATAGGCATTTTTGGAAGATCCATTTATTATGAATCTTACAGCAGGGTTTGTCAGTGGATTTTTACCAGTTCCACACCATGGGCAATGCTCAAGTAAGGCAGTGTGCCTCTAATCAGTTCCATGCATATCCCACAGAGTCATTACAAAACCTAGTCAGAGCAACCTCCAAAGGAAAGATGATGGACCACAGGCAGAATGTGAATGTTGCTCCATGGGACCCATTACCAGACCATCAGGGCGGGGCCATCTCATCCTACCAGAGAATGTCACCACCATTCCCATGCATATTCTCCATCATCACCATGCTTTGGAAGAAGGATGGCTAGGAACCCACCTGGGTTCATTTTATTTTTCTATTTTCTCTGGCAAGGTCCCAGTGGTATCAGCTGTGACTCAGCAGTCAAGATGTGGCTGCTCTGGTAGGTTGTGAGGCTGCATTCTCAGGGCCTGGATGTTTGGCTAGCTGCTTCCATGTGGTTGGGCTTCTTAATGGAGCTCAACAGGCCTCATGTTTCTTATTATGATTCTTTTCAAATCTCCATTTCCCACAGTGTTTGCGCTACCGAATATTGCTCTAGTCTTCCCTAAATGACAAACCCTCAGCATGGACTAGGAAAGATGTGCTAATTAAACTCAATCCGTTTTACATCTATTAGTCAAACTGTGATGGCTCATCAGATTGCTCGTGTTAAATAGGACTTGGGGCTGGTCCACAGATGTACTGCTCAGAAATGGGAACAACCAACTCCAGTGACCAATCCTTAGTTGGGTTTTCTTCCTTGTTCAGATGTTGCAGGATTGTATTTCAGTTGAGTTACGTATTTGGCAACAGCATGGAAAGTTCTGTTTTATAGCTCCCCTTGGGTATGTATCAGCTGAAGCTATTTTATTTATTTCCACCATATGGTCTTTCTTCTGAAATGGCTGCCCACTATCTACCCCTGACAAAGGTGTGACTCCTGAACCCAACAAGCTAGAATGGGAACTGCCCGAGGTGACTTTATATCCTATTAGGACATTGAAGGGTCTCCTTTTCTAGGAAGTTATCCATTAACCAAAAATACACAGGAGATACCACCACCAACAAGCACACCCTGGGAAGAGTACAGAGGGGTAAAGACTGTAGCTCTTTCTGTGGGAAAGTCCACATCAAATAGTGTTAAAATGATGAAAAACCTTCTGTGTTCCTCTAAAAGAAGATGGCGTCTACACTCCAGTGAATCTTTCTGGATGCAGGAACACATCCTACATCTCAAAAGATTAACCCATAGAAATGCAAAGATCACCAAATGCCAGACCTGGCATGTAGTGGCCTCCAATTGGTTTCAGATTAAAGAGGCTCAATGCTACAGTGAAGTTCAGAGTTTAACACAGGATTTTGGAATTCCTTTTGTGAACTCCTTAGAGATAAGTCCTTAATGACAGAAAAGATAATACTGATATTGCAAAAGCTATGCAAATTATTATTCAAAATTGTAGTTAAAGTCTAGATGTCTCTGGCTAGTCAAAGGGATCCTTTCTGCCCCCTGGTGGACTGTGAGATGCTTCCACAAGCTTTAAATGCACAATGGCGACTCACTGGGTCTTTGGACATTGGTTTCTGGAAAAGACACACTATGCTGTGTCAGATTAAACTAATTTCCTTTCTAGAGCAAAATCATGTAATGTGGGCAGTTCAGACCTTCCTGTCATCTTTGTGTTGTGGCACTTCTATGGTGCCACACATTGTGGTCTTGGATATTTTCTTCCCAATATTTCTTTCCATATTAGTGTCTTCTCCCTTCTCACCTTCTCATCCCTCAAACAGAAGCTAAAAAGAGAAAGGACATATACATACTCACTTTGCAATGCCCTGTATTTTTTCTCTGGCAGCCATTACTCCAAATAACATTCTCTTTCTTCTCTGAAGTCCACAGAAGTGTTTACCACCCTATGCTTCCAATGGATTGTTGGATTTACAGGAAAATCAGCTGACAATGTGCATTTACTTTCCAGGTCAAATAATCTAAAACAATTTGATAAAAAAATTAATAAGTGCTTGATAGCCTGGCACCAACAGAGATTTCCACTCACTCTCCACCCTTAGAGAAGTATTTTTGAGTGTGAGATGCTCTGAAATTCTATAAAGTTCTCGCCAAAGGTAAAAATAATATGTAGTGATGACATTCCCTTTTCACAAATGCACATATTGTAGAACCTGTGCCTAGCCACAGGATTTCACAATCTTTGGGGATTGGCAATTCACACGGCGCAAAATCCCATTTGCAGCATAGCTTCCCCAGATCCCATGGGATTCATCGCAGGAGCATTTTAATATCATAGTTTTCTTACCGTTGAGAACTCTGGAAGAATAGCCCCTAGTCTAAGCTAGAAGGCCCTTCAGCAGAGTAGAGAAAATGAGTTGACGCGAGCATACACACACACACACACACACACACACACACACACACACACACACACACACAAGAACATGGTCTACCTCTTCAATTCTGTGTGAGAGAAGTTGGTTTCTGGAGGTCAAAATATATTTTTAGTTTCTGTGAGCACTTTTACTCTCTTTTCTCTGTATTTGTACATACAAATTCCTCTGTGAGAAGATCAGAGGAACACAGATTCGGGGCTGACCACCACCCCCATCTATCTATTTCTCTTAGACCAGAGGTAGAATTGTACACTTTTAAAGTGTTATTCAAGAGCCTACTTCCCATTTCCAGCTCTAGACAACTCACCTCACTTCCTCCAGTCTGTGAGAGCAGGATGCTGTTTGAATATCTAGAATATCCTAGTCTTTTTTGTACACACCTCTTTTCCCTGAAGTGTTATTTCGAGACAGAGCAATGTTATCTTTTAATCAAAACAACCCACATCTCTACTCCAGCTTTCTCTCTCTCTCTCTCTCTCTCTCTCTCTCTCTCTCTCTCTCTCTCTCTCTCTCTCTCCTCTTCATCTCTCTCTTCAGAAGTACCAAGTTCACAGAAAAAAAAAATGACTCTTTCAAAAAACAGTACATACATTTTTGGGTTTTTTTTTTTTTTTTTTTTTTTTGGAACAAATAGCAGACCCGAGTCCTTATGTTTGCCTTTTACAGAGTTCACACTTCAAAATGCTCAGTGCTCTCTGAGAGTGGTCTGTTCCACCATGAACACTGAGCAGCTTAATCGTCTATCAAACACCCATGACAATACCAGCATCAGCACGCAGGTTGGAGAAGCAAGCCACGTCAAGAGAACACAGATAATGGAGAAACCTCGTCCACCCTGGACTAGATTCCCTCCAGGCTGTGAACATGAGGCTGGGACAGCAGAGATTATTCTTAGAGCAATCACCACGTTGGAAGTCAGACTTCTGATCTAAGAGAGAGAAGAGCCCCTCCAAGCACTTGGTGGTTATTCGGAGTTTCCATGTGGGTTCTTTGGGGAGGGTCCCTAGTCTAATCATGGTGATTTGTGGTTTACTCGGGCATCATCACAGAGGCTTATGTGTTTAGATCTGTACACAGCTGTGAGTCATAAACAAAAATGCCAGAATCTTTTTTCCTGAAAAAAAAATTAGAGCTAAAAATTAGGACATATTTCCAATAAGACCAATGGGATGAAAATGAATAAGATTGCTTTACATAAAAGTAAGGAGAAGAAGCTAGCCTCTGCCTTCAGATCTTTCCCTTTGGAGAAACAGATAACTGACCCTTAAAACCACAGACCTCTTTGGTCCTTGTCATAGAAAAGAAAAAGAGAGAGAGAGAGAGAGAGAGAGAGAGAGAGAGAGAGAGAGAGAGAGAGAGAGAGAGAGAAATAAGTCTAAGAGAAATTTGTTCCATTACTAATTGGAACAAAAAGTCACAAATTTTAGTAATTTGAGAAATTAGCCAACTTTTTTTTTTGGTAGATGAATTGTCCTCATCTGCGATATACATTTCAGAATGAAACTTAAATTAGCTTCTTAAAGTGGTCTTGTGACTTTAATTATTCACAAAGTACACAAATTTAATGAGTTTTTAAATATTAAAACTCTTCTCCATTGTCACTATGGTGAGCTCTTAATTTACAGAGCAATTAAGTCAGGCCCTCATTTATCAGGACATGCGCGTTTGTGGAAACCGTCGTCAGTTTTTATTAATTGATGCTATAGAAAGACTGAGGTGAAATGAATGTGTGTCTTCAGAGGTCGGGTCTGTGGTGGTAGGGAGCTGGCAAGGAGTAAGATGTGAGATAAATAAGGAGCCAGTGCTTCTGAGACTGCTGAGCTATTAAATGGTGCAATGGTTACCGTTCTCAGCCAAAATGCTCGCGAGAAAATGCCCCCTGAGTTTTTCTCTGGCAAACATCTGTCATGGGTAGTAGCTGAGAAACAGGGAGACTTCAAAGCCGTACTTTTTGATTATTAGCAGAGTGTTGAGTGTAATGTTCTTACATTTTAATGTGAACCAAGTGTTGATGAGCTGAGAGGGTAGAATTAAAAAGTAGCCCAAATTTCCTTTGTTCTTAAGAATGGGACTGACAAGAACATTAGCAGTCAGGAGTATTCCTCTGCACTGTACTTACCATTTTCGAGCCACCGTGATTCTAACGCCTGAGGTGGGTGCTGGGGGTGAAGCTGAGCCAGCACCTGTCCCGGGGTATTCACCCATGGTGCCTCTGTCCATGGTTAGGTGTCCACTGTTCAGCATAAATTACTGATGGGCAACCTTGTTCTAGAAAGTAGTTATAAAAGAGCAAGACTCAGTTCAGGCAGTGTTTCTCCAACCACTTGCCTAGAGGCAAGGACTTCCTCACAAATGAGTTTGCTGTACAGATTGATGGAGTCGATGTCTGTTTGGGAATGTAAATGTAAACAGAGAGCAAGGAAGAACTGAGCACGTTGTCAGCATTTCAGGCTGTAGTTGGAATGATTGTTCATGAGGAAACTAAATTTGTAGTTGAACTCATGGTGTTTAGGTAGATGTAGGCTATTTCAGTACTTTCTTATGAAGAGATTTGACAGTCAACCATCTCCAAGAATTTATTTTTATTACATTGGTTTTGTTTTGAGGGGGAAAAAGTCTCTCTTATAGCTTACAAGCTAGCCTTGAATTCACTATTTAGCCCCGTCTGCCCTCAAATTTACAATCATCCTGCATCAGCCTCCATAACATTCGGATCACAGGATCATATGCCAAGCTTTCCAAGCATTCTTTAAATCCAGGAACTTTACAAATCACCCTGAAAAACACACACCATGACACAAGCACTTCGTAGTGCATGCAAATTACACAACTCTTCTTGCAAATTCGAATTTCTCACAACCAGACAAGGTGTCCTAGCCCTTTCCTGAAAGGAAGTTGCTAGGGAAAGAGGCGCTGCTCCCTCCTAGCTCCGGAACTCATGGCCTCCAGAGCACCACAAGGTTTCCAGAGACTGTGCCAAGTGATCCCCTGTAAGCAGGGGTTGGTAAACACACTTCCATTCCTCATTCAGACAGGCAGCAGAGGCAAAAGGAGAGAGAGAGAAGAAAAAAAAATAGCAGCGGGCAGCAAGTGCTGTCTTCTGCAAATACTCAGTAATAAATTGTTCTTTCCACAGAGCGCAAGGCGGATTTTTCTTTCCTCTGCTCCTTTCCTCCTTTGCTGGGGAGCACCAATGGGAGGCTGGCTTTCCCACCTGGCCCTGGCTGCTTGTGCCCATAAATTTGCCTATGCAATGCCTGTTTACGGGTCGCTGATGGAACATGAAGCCGGTGCATTTTGCAAGTGCTGGGTAGATAATCATGGTAATTGATGTTTGGAGCTGTGAGCTCCTAGGAGCACAGGGTCTCTTTCTCCCAGTGAGGCCCTGCTCTCTGTTATCAGTCCAGCCCATAATTAAATATCACTCTTTTACAATATGTTTCAGGCTCCTTAATGAGTCTAAAGCAGAAAGAGTCACCTCTTTCCCCTCTGAGCTTTATTTGCTTGTCATTAAACAATGTTATTGAGCTGCCTTCTTTCCCTGTGTTACCAAACCCGCATCATTTCCGTTTTATAATTGCACAATTAGAGCCAAGGCTTCACTTTCATACATCAGCAGGCCCTGCGTATGCGTGCGTGCATGCATGTGTGTGTGTGTGTGTGTGTGTGTGTGTGTGTGTGTGTGTGTGTGTGTGTGCGAGAGAGAGAGAGAGAGAGAGAGAGAGAGAGAGAGAGAGAGAGAAGGAAATCAGGTATTCCTATAGACCACTCCAATGCGTCTTATTTTCAGTAACTGCTACGTTTTGCAAAGCAGGAAGCAATCTACTGCGAGTCATTTTCTTCTCTCTGCCACCTCCACCAGCTAACACACTGACTTTCGCGGTGACCTTGTGCTGCAGAGCCCAAGGTCCAACGTGCTCATTGTTACTGGCTTGCATAATCCCACGCCCCTCCCCCACATCTTTTTTTTTTTCTACCCCAAGCAAAATCCAGTCATTTATATTCAGAGGCTAAATGGCCTTCTTTTTTGCCCCTAAAGCTGGCAAGCTGTATAACACCAGTAATTCCCTCTAACAATTTTCCAAAGAGTCCCTCCCCTTACACACGCGCCCTCCCTTTCACACACGTGCACACACACACACACACACACACACACACACACACTTCCCCAGGCACACACTGGTGTGCACCCACCCCACCCCCCTAAGCGGCTCTAAGCAGTGCATTAAGAATCTGAAGAAAATCCATTCCCACTCTGCTGCGTCGCTTTCTTCTCAAGTCGTGAACCCATCACAGACTTTTCCTAGCTCTGGGTTGCCACGGTGAAGATTTACAATGCCGGTTATTCATACATCTGCCTTCTCTTCTTTTTCCCCCTTCTTCGTAAATCCCTTGGGCGAGGGCAACCTTGATACTGAGACTCGTAAAATTCACGCAGGCTTATCATCCTTGGTGAAGGCTCCAGGCTGCCTTCCACATCCCCCGCCAGCTCTCCCGCCATGAAGGCTGTGTGGGCCACAGACTTTTATCTTACCAATAGGTGGGGGCTGGGGGAGCAGAGTGGGATCACTATGTGAAACATAAAAGAAAGCACACAGTCTCTCTCTCTCTCTCTCTCTCTCTCTCTCTCTCTCTCTCTCTCTCTCTCTCTCTCACACACACACACACACACACACACACACACACACACACACACATCTAAAAAAAATCATTTATTAATTTTTTAAATTACTGTTTGGTCTCTGGTGTCCAATATTCATTGGAACTGGATGTGGGAATGTTGAATTCAAAGCGACCTGAGTTTGAGTGCAGCACTATTAGGGTGTCCACTGAAGAGCACCCCAGGGCTCAGCACAGACCATGTTCATTCCACTTAGGAAAGCCCAGAAACCTCAACTCCTTAGAAATAAATGGACATTTCATGGCTCTTGGGTCTTTTTCTCTTTTCTTGACTTATTTCTTTTTCTCTTCATTTTGACTAAGTTAATTATTCCCAATGAACAAGGAGATGGGGGATATCGTTTTCAAGAGTGAAAGTGTTTGAGTGACCACCTGAATCTAGCCAAGTGATGCTTGTATTTGTGAGTTCAGTAAAATAAAAGATTTTTATTGAAGAATGAAAATAAATATTTTAATGACATCAGAGAAAATGTCCCCTCATCTGAAAGTAGATTACTAGGTAACACAGTATAGAACTATGTCTTAATTTTCACCAGAAAATTTGATGTGATGTTTTGTAAATGTTTACAACATGTTATAAAATAACAAGTTGGATCTCAGTAAGTGTTCATCTGAAACCCTTTTTATAAATTTTACAACTTTACTTTTGGCAAATTGAAATACAATCGTGTCTTATAATTGTTTTTTAACCTTATTTTTACTTTCAAGAATTATATATATATATATATATAAATGTGTATATATATAAATATAAATATAGTCTCCCTATTAAATCTCCTCATATATGGTCTTGCTTCCTGCAAATTTACTTATTCAAAGTCAATGGTAATCCACAAAAATTAAGTAGAAAATATTAGAAATAAAGAATTCACAAATTTGTATTGCACACCATTCTGAGTAGAATAATAAAATCATGCCACTTCTCATCTCACCAGGAATGAGAATCTTTCCTTTGTCCACTGTACCCACACAGTATATGCTACCCATCAGTTAATCACTTAGTATTTGCGTTGATCATCAGATCAACTAGTATACTGTCACAGTGCTTTTAATGCTGATTTCACTTATGAATGGTGCTAATGTACAAGTGTAGTGACGCTGGCAACTTTATCACGATATATTGTCCTAATAGTTGAGTTTTATGATGTTACAATTCTTACAGTTATGGGAGAAGGACTGAGTAAGACATCTTTTATGTTTTTGCCTGATTTATAAATTAAGTTCTAACCTAGATAAGCACAGCCAACCTAGATGTTGCTACTATCGTTGGATTCTGTGTATACAGCTATCTTTGATAAGGGAGACTTCTTTTTTCATAAGTTCTATGGTTGGGGTAGAGGTTTGTGTATCCAGGATGTGAGGAGTTTCATGGCTACCCTCTTTGCACCTGAATAAATGCTGCACCTTCTGGTCCTTCCTTAGGTCCTCTAGAGGCCCTGCAGGTGCCCAGTCCACTGAGCAGACCGGAGCTGGCCTCCTTTTCCTGTGAGGAGGACTGTTGGGCCACTGACAGTGCTAACCTGGGTCCTTATTCTGACTTAGTCTGAAACATGGCCAGTGGTGTCACAGGTAACCTTTCAAATGATGTGAAGCTTTGACAGAAGCTGTAGACTTCTAATTTCTTCAAATAATGGAGGCAAAGTGCTAGGAGAGAGAAATCCAGGGATAATGAGGTAGCAGTGACTTCTCACAGATGTGTGACTTCGAGCCTTTGTCCCTGGGGGCCTCAGTTTCCTCCTGTGTTAAACATGGACAGTTGTGTTGTCTCATCTTAAGGAACCTGCCTAATCACACATGACCCAACCATAATTCCATTACATATGGACAACAGCCAGCTCAAAATAAACATACTTCATCATCCCTGGGTGTGGCTTAGCTTCGATCTTCATTTCCCTGTGTTCATTTCCCATCCTTTTCAGGGGGCTACAGAATTACTTATGAAACACTTCCACAAGAACATTGGGTCCACAGAGAGCTCAAAAAGGCCAGGCATTCTGAGCCTGTAAATTCAGAAGTACTTTCAATTTCCATTTTGGCCTAATCTAGTTTTTTTTTTTTTTTTTTTTTTTAGGCAGAAATTTCCTCTTCCAAACCACCTCTTGTCCCATTCCCTTTTCAGGCTCCTGGTTACCATCAGTTCCCGGCTCCAGGGTGTGAGCAGGCAAGCCAGGCATCTTCCTTGGCTCCTACACACCTCAAGAGTCTGTTGTCCTGCATCCCCTTAGGGAGGGAACCATCAAACCATCTAATCAGAGGAAAACTAAGCAGATGCTTCCTTTTAAAGCTTCCACAACCATCTGTGATTGCTCAGAAACTCAACACAAAATGTCACAGTGGACAGTTCCAATCACCTTTCTTAGCTACTTGTTAGAGCTGATAAAGGAACCTACCAGCAAATCACTGCACTTATGTGACATGGTTTCCTCATGCTACTAAGTGAAGGTAATAATCTCATTCAGCTCCTCAAGGCTCCAAGGATCACAAGCATCAACATGCAGATACCATGAGATATGCTAGACTATACAGTGTCAATACATTATTCTCATTGCTCATTAATAACAATCTGCTAATGACTGATATAATAGAGATGATGATGGCTTTCAAGGGTTTTTGAACATGATCTACAGAAAGGTATGTTATGTAGTATAACAGGACACACCTGTGCCATCTTCACTGATAGAAAAACTCTTAAAAAGAACAACACAGCTTATTATCTGTGAAACAAGCTGGGATTTTCTGCCCTCCAGACAGCAACTTTCCACTCTTCCCTAGGTCCTGGCTGAAGTCTGAAAGTCCTGGATACAGAGCAGTAGGAGAACACATGGAGGCTCCTATGAAGTAGGAAAGCACATGGGCTTCCCTCCTGGATCTCCTATAGTAGAGCCGAAGTCTTGGAGCACAGAAAAAGGCAGAGTTTCAACTCCTACTTGTGCTCAGCAAGAGGCTTTTGCAGAACCCTGTACCCACACAATGAAACCTGGGCAGGTAGGCTGCTGTGTTAAGAGACATTGCACAAAATCTTGAAAAGTACAGCGTGAAGGATGCAGAGTATTTCCAGTCTGCGTCTACACAGATCAAAGGAAGCCTGCCATGCAGGTGTGTGAAGGAAGGGAGCAGAGCAAAGCAAGCCTTACTGGTTTTAAAACATGAGAAACTGAATGAAAAGGAGGTTGAAAGATGGTTCAGCTACTACAGAGTGCACACTGTTCTTTGAGAGGACCTGAGTTCTGTCCCCAATACCTGTGGCAAAAGGCTCACACCCACCTATAACTCCAACTCCAAAGGGTCCAAGGTCTCTCACCTCTTAAGGTATCTGTACTCATGTGAAAATACAGAGAGAGAGAGAGAGAGAGAGAGAGAGAGAGAGAGAGAGAGAGAATAGATGAACAGGAAGAAAAAAAGCATTCTATTCCCAAATGCTTTGTAGGTATATAGTATACTTCTATGATGTGTCTGTCTCTTTTGTCTGCTCTTACTTTTAATGGCTATTTTTTTCAAGACAGTGGGAATTACTCTTCAAATAGTGTGGAAATTTTGATAAGTATTGATCTCAAAGCATTTTATAACTTTGCAAAATAACTATATTGAAATGTTTTAAAAATAATTTTCACATGTGTCATACCTTTTTGAGGACATGATGTCATATTCACAGCTAAACATTATATATATATATTTGGTTATTATATATATATATATATATATATATATATATATATATATATATATATATATATGGTTTCTTGAGATAGGGTTTCTCTGTGTACCTCTGTTTGTCCTAGAACTTACTTTATAAACCAAGCTGTTCTCAAACTCACAAGATCTGTCTGACTCTGCCTCCCAAGTCCTGGGATTACAGGCTTGCGTCACCATTGCCTGGCTAAAGATTATTTTTTAAGAATCCAAAAGCCTGATGTTACACATAACACACATGACATAGAGAAGAGACAAAAACTTTAACCGGCCAAATTGCTCAAGGAGATGCGGGCATATGACCTTAATAAAATCACATCTTATCTTTTTTACCTACCGTGTGTTTCATGTTACCTTACAGTGTGCTATCAATGGTGTTTTTTCCACCCAGTTCTCCAACCTGTGAGACCATTAAGACTGAGTGGTACCTGCGAAAGCAGAATCTCTGCTTCAAAATCTCAGGCTGTTTTGATCCTGAACCACCTCACCACGGCCCAACAGCAGCTCTCAGGATCTGACAACATGCTGCGTTTGGCTGTATTGGAGGTTTTATGCAGAGTAGCAGAGTAGCGTCTGAGGGGTCAGGGCTTGCCCATAGCTATGGTCTTTTCTCTGCCTACAAACAACCTCCCTGTTTCTTATGCTTAATGCCCAAATCCCCTGATTTTCTGAGCTTCTGCTTCCCTTCCTAGCTTTCTATATAAATTTTTAGAAGGAAGAAAGGAAGCAGTTTCGGTAAGGTAAGGACCAGATGGACCTAGAGATCCACCCAGAGGGGGAACATAGTTTAATGCCACAGGGGGATAGTGTTTGAATCCCATGGTACGTGTAGGCTGCCTATTATGTAGGCTCACACAGCCCAGAGTCTCCACACAACTACCCCACTTGCAACAGAGTATGGAATAAGTCCTCAGCAAATAACATCCATTGGTGAGGTTCTATCTATATGGGAGAAATGCCCAGTTCAACCAGCAGTGGAATGTCCCAGGTCAGATTCCAGACAACACCTTAGAGGTAAATCTTCCACTAAATATTCCCTTCAAGGCCTCCATGGGGAAAGATGAATAGTGCTCTGAGAGTGTAGACACCACACATGAGCTCACCATAAG